TAATTTAATAAAAGTTTAAGAATAGTTGAAATATTAAAAAAAAAAATAATAATTCGTTATTAAAAAAATTGTATTGTGAAATGGAAATGAAAATTTAAGCCCACACCCTGTCGCACAGTAAATCGACGGACCGTTTTGCCCTTGCATGCGTCAATAGTGCGAACACATGACACACCCAAAACTTTAAATTATAATATATAGTATAGAATATATAAACAATTATTTATAAAGTTGTCAAAAGAAATGGAACTTTTCCTAATCCTATAATCATATGATAAACGTTTAATATCGAATTACTATAAAGTATTCATTAATTGGATTAGGATAAAGTATTATCTATAATATATAAATAATGATATTTATATATTTGTATTTTTGGGAAGATTAGATCTTAAAATGAATAATACTATATAATAGAGAGATTGGAGGGATTTTTTTATGTATTCGAGGCGCCGTAAATTTTTGAAGAAAAAAATATATAATTAATATCATGAAGATTTTCTCCATTTTCACACTATGATTTTTCTTTATAAATAAAATTTTATATTAGATAGGTCTGACATAAGAGACAACATGGAGTGGCTAATGATGATCATGTTTGTCTTAGGTATGTTGTTTATGACCATATGTTAGATGTTTCAATCATGCTTGTTTAATACGTGTTGTCCATGGTTGTATGCTTATTACAAACTCCTTCTTACATGCTTTCGTCTTAAATAGGTTTTTACTGATTCATGTTATGTTAATATTGAGGTATATAACTGTTCACCAAAATCATATCTACCCTTCATGTTATGTCAACATTAAGGCTGTCGTCTTAATTTATATGTTATTTGAAGTCGGGATGTTTATTTCTTTGTTTATAGCTACATAACGTTGTTTTCTTTAGTTTTTTGCAAGTCGTTTGAAGTGTAACGACTCGCTAGATTTTTTAAAAACATTTATTACAAATGTGACTCGAGGCCTGAGTATATGTTGTGATGTCTGAATTTCTCACGATTGACTTGTTCGCTGAGTTAGAACAAGTGTGATTGTGACAGCTAACAATTATTGTTATTAATCATATAAAACAAAAAATGAAGACGTGGGATGCCAAAGTAGGTTATGTCTCTATACTAATAATTAACGGGAGAAGTATTCTTAATCTCGTAGTACCAAAATACGGAGATAAAATTATAATTTTTTTTATTGTAAAAAAAGAAAAAAAGAAAAGAGAAAAAGATGAATGTGAATAGTGGGAAAATAAGGGGGTGGAGAAATAAATAAATAAATAAATAAATAAAAGAAAAAAAAAAAGAGAAAGGGAAGGGGCATTGAGAGTGGGAAAAGGGAATTAATTGTGTCGGGTGATGATGTGTTACTGTCGCTTTTGATTTCCCACAAGAAAAGCAGTCGGCGCCGCCGTGGATTGCCTTGCCCTCCGCTCTCTAATTCTCCATAATTCTTATCATTATGTTTTATCATTGAAAATGATTGTACCACGTTTCTCATTCCTTACTCACTACACCCACTTCCTCTTTTTTTTTTAAATGTTTTTTTATTCGAAATAAAATATTAACAATTTTCATTTAATTTAAAAATAATATAAAAAATTTAAAATTATTTTGGAGACATAAATAGGAGTATTTTTTATTAATTTAGTTGCATGTATTAGATTGGTATAAAATTGAGACTTTAATTTGTATTTCTCTCTATATTTGATTCTTGAGTAGTCGTAAGAAGGACAAGTCCGTAAATTCACCCAATAAATCAAATTAAAAATATAAAATAAATCACACACATATCCTACCATAAAATGGAACGTTTTGCACTCAGCTCTGCCAGTCAAATTTTCTCACCTTTTTCACCGTTATGGGTTAAATAAAAATAATAGTAAATAAAATTTAAAGGTAAAAAGATATATATATATATATATATATATATATATATATATATATTAATAAATAAAAAAATGCACCGAAATAGTTTTCCATCTTTACATAAACTCTTCTTTCAATTCACACTTTCGTATCCAACTCTGCATGTTCCAGTTCTTCCTACTCTCTCTCACAGCCCTTTTCTCATCCGTTTCCATGGCTTCCTTTCTTCCATAAGAATCGATTAATAAATTCTCGATTCGTTGTTTCACCGTTCAGGCGAGACGAACGAATCATTTCCGACCCCGGAGATGCTGCCTTTTCAGAGTCATTACGGATTCCAGAGCAGTTGGTTGAATTATCGCGACGGCGATCATTTTAAACGTTCGATGTCCGCTGCCGGATGCTCGATCGTCGGAAATGCTGCAGATTCGTCCAAGGACGAGAAGAAATCTACGGAAGCGAGTCGAAGTCATAAGGAAGCGGAGAGGAGACGGCGACAGAGAATCAATTCGCATTTATCTACGCTCCGTACGCTTCTCCCTAATACTACTAAGGTAATCGATTAATTCGCGAAATTGTTGTGCATTTTGTATTGTTGATGTTGAATTGACGAAGCGTTGAGGTTTTTGGATATGGCGGATGGAATATTTGAATTAGTTTTGGACTGTTTGTTTGTTTTATTGTAGACGGACAAGGCGTCACTACTGGCGGAAGTGGTGAGTCATGTGAAGGAGTTGAGACGGCGAGCGACGGAGGTTGCGCGCCGCAGTGCAGACCAGTGCGACGGCGAGGGCGAGGGAGAGGGAGGTATAGTGCCGTGGCCGTTCCCTAGCGAGGAAGACGAAGCGACGCTCTGTTACTGCGATAACGAAAACAGGTTAATGAGAGCGACAGTTTGTTGCGATGAGCGGTCCGGTCTGAATCGGGATTTGATTCAAGCGATCCGGTCGGTTCACGCGAGGGTGGTTCGGGCCGAGATGATGACGTTGGGCGGGAGGACGAAGAACGTGGTGGTGTTGGAGTGGAGCGGCGGCGGTGGCGGGAGAGAGGAGGCGTTTTTGGGCCTGAGGCGGGCTTTAAAGGCCGTAGTAGAGAATCAGGCCCAGAATCTATCGGGTCAGAAGCGGGCTAGGGCCTGTTGTCCAATAGAGGACCCGTTTTTCATGTGCTGACGTGGCCTAGCAAGTTTGTTTTGGAATTGTCCGTTGGGAATCTTTTTTGTTTTTGCTTGGTGTAAAATGGGAAGGAATCAGCTCCAACACGAGAGTGAAAAGTGACCGACATGTCGGCTGTCGCACAACAGACAAAACAACGTAATAAGTGCAAAAGCTCAGTTGGGGGTTGAATCATGTCGATGGTATATCTAAAAAAAATCTCAAGTCTTTTATGAAATAGTACACATTTCGAATATATAAACCCTAAACTAAATATGGCCCACTCATCTTTCATTAGCTCAATCAAGAATCGCAATAATTATATCCACGTATTTATAAATGTTCATGACCATAATGGAGAGCCAAAGTCACTGAATAAAATGGGTAAGTCATCAATCCCTAAAACGGACTAAAGAGAATTCCCATTTAAATGGAAATTGAGAATAGTGGAACGGAGAGAGATTTCTCTTTATTAGTTAAACGAAACTAGAGACGGGTTACATTCTTCGTCCTTAAATCACTCCCAATTCCTATTTCTTTTATGTGTGTCAAAACTAATTTATAAAATATGTTCATTTACTTATTAATTTAAGTAGAAATTAGGTTAAATATTCTCCTTAAAAATATTTATTTATTATGGTATTATTTTATATTCTTTTAAAAGGGAGGATGCTTCTAGACTACTGGTCCACTGGGTGGATAATATATTGTTGCATTAAAAAAGTATTATTTAAAAAGTCGATATTATATATTGTAAAATAATTAAGAAAGTAATGGGAATGATAAATTGAAATTTATTGGAAGTAGAGAAAGTAAAAGTAAAAAAAAAAAAAGAAAAAAAAAAGCAGAAGATAAGTCCACGTGTCAATGAGGAGTGAAACGCTGAATAATGGGAGAGCTTCGTCCACGCAGTGAGATAGTTAAAGACAGACGTCTCCTCCTCCCTCCTTATCCTTATTACTCCATATCTCATCCCAATCATTATTTTTTTTATTCTTTATTTTTTTAAAACATTTTAATATATTTGACAATTTTATAAAATTAATTATTCTTTTATAAAAATATAAAACAAGTCAGAGATATATATATATATAATTTACAATTTATTGGAATATAGTTAAATAGTACAAATAAACGTTTGTTTTTTGTGTAAAGAGATAAATTAAGAATTTCCTTACCGTTATGTTCACGTATCACGTGCCTACAAAACGACATTCCTGCTTACTTGGAAGATGGTCATCTTTATCTTATGTTTATATTAAAATTATTTTATAAATACAATTCTTAAAAATGAGTATATATTAAGAAGTAATAATTTAATCTATTTATTTTACAAGTGTGTATCTATTTTGTCTTTATTTAAACAATATTATTAAAATTCAGTAAAAAATTTATGGATTAATTAAATTAATTAGAGTTCAAAATTGTCTATAGACTATAAAATTTAAATTATCAAATAATAAAATAATAATAATAATAATTAATTTTGATGAAAATTTGTTCGTGAAAACCAAATGATTATAAACTCTAAAGTACAATGACTTTTTTACTTATTAAAATTTAAAAATTAATTGTAACAAATTTTCATACAAATGGAAACCAAATGTTTCAAAATCTTTCAGTTGTAAGTAAGAAATTTCTCAACAGAGTTTGATCATTTTCATTTAATTCACTTGATTTCAGAATCAATCTCCATGAATTTCTTTGCTGATTTATCGTTGCTAATAGGCCTAAGAGCATGCTGGGGTCGGCTAGTTTCAGAAATGGCTGCGATTGGACCCACTCTAATCCACAAGAACCCTTCCCTTTTCTCATCATTTTCAGTTGGGAGAAATTCTATTTCTGTGAGTTCTTCCACTTTCTGTTTCTTTATTTTGCTGTAATTTTAGGTTTAGATTGGGTTTTAATTTGATGGAATTCGGAAGCAATCGACGAAACTCATCCGTAAGTGCCTTGTTATCGCATTCACGAGTGGGTATTTCCTTCATGTGACTAATTTACTGTATGAATGTTTAATAGAAAATCCGATCAATTTTCACTTCTGGATTCTTATTTTTACTTTCTGATAAGGTTGGAAGTCTCGAGTAGCTCATCAGGTGTGGAATTGAAAAATGTGGCTAAAGTGAAGGATGCAGATAAGGTGTTCGATGAAATGACAAGAAGATTTCTGAGTTTTAAGAAGCAAAAGTTTTTGTGAGTACCAATTGGGGATTGGTTTTTGATCCAAGGGTTTCTTATGAATTTGCAGTGAACACATTAAAAGTAGGCTATGTTCCGTTCTTCTTGCTGTCAAATTTGATCTTTATCATCTCTAGACTTCGTATTCTTCTCATTAGAGAGTGCATTTATTGGATGAATTCTTAAGAGAACTTAGTTTTATGCTCAAAGTTGAGAACACTTTAGTCATTGGCCACAGTATTTGTGCTGAATTCACAGTCTTGTGAGCATGGAAGATAATGCTATCAACTCGAGGTTCCACTTTCTTCAACTCTCTTGTATCTTGTATCTTATATCTAACTGTCTAAGCCCTCCGCTAGCGGATATTGTACTCTTTTTGGACTTTCTCTCAAGGTTTTTAAAACGCGTATGCTAGGAAGAGGTTTCTACACTCATATAAACAATGCTTCTTTCTGTTCCCCAACCGATGTGGGATCTCACAATCCACCCCCTCGAGGCCCAGCGTTCTCGCTGACACTCGTTTCCTTCTCCAATCCACGTGGAATCCCCCAAATCCACCTCCTTTGAGGCCCAACGTCTTTGTTGGCACACTGCCTTGTGTTCACCCCTCTTCGGGGCTCAGCCTCTTCGCTGGCTCATCGTTCGGTATCCACCCCCTTCGGGGCTCAGCGTCCTCGCTGGCACACCTCCCGGTGTCTGGCTCTGATATCATTTGTAACGGTTCAAGTCCTTTCCCTTTCGGGCTTCCCCTCAAGGTTTTTAAAACTTGTATGCTAGGGAGAGGTTTCCACACCCTTATAAAGAATGCTTCATTTTCCTCCCCAACCGACGTGTGATCTCACATTATACATCTGTTTTCTGGTATTTGTTCGTTTTTCGAGCGGTAACTTGTAGCTTATTCTGCTATGGTAGCTTTGTTCGTAAGTGGGTGGTGAACGCAAAGGCTGCTAAGTTAAGAACAAAAGCTGCTGCTGAACATCTTAGTTTTGACCAGCAATGTAAGCATTGTGAGAAGGTACTGATATACTTTTGCTGCAAACATGAACCACACGATCTTTGTTTCAATTTCATTCATCTTCCCCAGTTCATTTTTTAGATTAGAATCTGTTTCTTTCTTTATTAATTCATATGCAAAGTTGCGAGATCCCACCTTAGTAAAAGAGGGGAACGAAACATTCCTTATAAGGGTGTGAAAATCTCTTTCTAGCAAAGCGTTTTAAAAACTGTGAGCCTGACGGCAATACGTAACGAGCCAAAGCGGACAATATCTGCTAGCGGTGGGCTTGAACTGCTACAAATGGTACAGAGTCAGCCACTTAGCGGTGTGTCAGCGAGGACGCTGGTCCCCAAAAGAGTGGATTGTGATTTGTAAGATCCTACATCAGCTGGAGGGGAAGGAAACATTTCTTATAAGGGTGTGAAAACCTCATCCTAATATATGCGTTTTGAAAACCGCGAGACTGACGGCGATACGTAATAGGTCAAAACGGATAATACAAACAATATCTACTAGCGGTGGCTTAGCTGTTAGAAAAGTTCAAACTATCCATCTACCTATCCAAGTTCTTGCTATGCTAGGTTGTTGAGTTAGTTTAGGACTGATTCATAGTAAAAGGCCGGGAGGGAATGGTTTCTCAAGTCATAGTGACCTCTTAACTAGAACTTCATGTTCTACAAGTTTTCTTAACAAATAATCTGAGTGTAGTAGGGTTAGTTAGTTGTCTGGTGCAAGCTGACTCGAAAGATTACTAATCTCTACACTTCCATTTTTGCCACCAAGAGTCGATCGACCGTTCGTTGAAGAACTTGATGACGTACCCAGCCGTTAAAAGAGGAGGTTCTTTCTATTCATGGAGGACACTACAATTTCTGGTCATGTACATTTGAGAAGTAGACGCTTGATTACAAGAACACGAACAAAGCTGATGATGATGATCGTGGATGTCTGATCAAAGATCAATCAATCTGAAGTTGAGTTTACCAGATCCTCATCCTTACGAAATTTTTTTGTTTTTGTTTTTTAATAAATAATAGATCTTAAAAAATTTTAAATGCATATCTACATAATTCTTATTATCTATCATCGAGAATTGGTTATGTTTATTATGTATTAACCCTTTATATAATTTATCATTTTTATTTTGTCAAACACATAAGCATTAAATTAGTTGTTTTAAAATTTTTGAGAGGAAACTCGAAAGAGGAAGCTTAGAGAGGACAGTATCTGCTAGTGGAGGATTTGTATTCTTATAGTTGATACAGTAAACTAGCCTACAAGATAGGCTTGACACATTACATGGTTTCATTATCGACGTCTGTCAAGACGAGTGCATAGGATCTATTCATTAGAGTTATATTGTAATATGTATTCAAACTTTTGAAATGAAATAAGGGGAAAAAGGGAGGGAAAATATGCTTTTAATTATTTATTTTTGAAGAAAGAAAAAAGGTTTAAAAGTAAATGAAATTGAAGGTGAAGTAATTAAGGCGTTAATAAAAAATGATTAGATATCATTTAGGCTTTAAACTTTTTAAATTTAATTTTAAATTTTTTTATTAGATATCATTTCTATTTCTTTGGGTCGTTTACCAATGTCAGTAGTTGATGATTATACAATTAGAACAATTCTGAATTCGCCTCAAATAAGTAAATCCCTTGATTAAAGAGTAATTGGAAACTACTAAGGTTCCGTTTTGATCTAAAGAAATGAGGTTTCTTTCGTTTCCTTATTGAACATCATGATGCGAATCGTGCTTGAATGAGTTCGAATTTGCAACGGCAAGCAGTCCCGTTGTTTGTTTGATCACTACCTACAAATACAAACTATTGATTCATGAGAATTGCAGCTTAATTGAGATTGAAACTATATACTCTTTCAGATCAAGACTAAGATTAATACTAATACAATAACTGTACCTACATTAATTCACCCCTTAAGATTTAATTAGGAATTGATTATCCATTTTTTTATCTCTTTTTTTTTTGGATGGCTTTAAACTTTTTAAATTTAATTTTAAAATTTTGAAAACAAGAGATTTTAGATTTAATTAGAAAAAAAAGAGACAATTTTAAATAATTGAAATAAAAATGTATTTAAAAAAAGAAAGGCGTAATTGAAAAGGCTCCTTCATGAGTCAAATTCAATAGTCCCTCCCTTTGTTGTTTTTGGATATGGGGGATGTCTCTCTCTCTCTCTCTCTCTCTCTAGAAATGGAAAGGCGGTGCTTTCTTTATTTCGCTTCAATCTCAATTTTAGACCTCTTTTTACTTTATATTTTGGGACGGTTATCGTGTGACCGACAGTTTTTTAATTATCAGATAAGATAAACACGAGAAATAGTAGAAGAGATAAAAATTTATAAAATATATTCTCTAAAGTTTAAATATTCGTTTTATATATATATATATATAGTCATCATATAATTCTATAAATTCCAATATGAAAAATATTATAAAACTTATAGCTAAATTTTAAATTAAAATTTATAAATAAAGGAATTAAATTAGGTTTTATAAATCGTTAAGTCAAGATTTTTGTGATGGCGGTGGGCCCCACCTCCACCTTCTAAAACAGCGCCGCCGCCGCCGCCGCCGCCCCTCTCTGTCGATATAATTTAAAGCCCAATTCTTCCCTTCCATTGCCTCTTTTGCCATTCCACCCTCTCCTCTCTCTTTTTTCATTTTAATTAAAATATTTCTTTTTTATTTTTATTTTATTTTTTGGGGATTTTGAAGAAAAGAAATTAAAGGCTATTTCGCTTACCCCAAGAACCAGACTTCCAACATGTTATCCAAATTCCATCTCAGTCATCACTTTACCCACCCTCCGCCCCATCAACCGGAGGATGAACCTACCGCCGCCGTGCCTTTGCCGTTCAAACCCCTCCCGGAATCAATCTCTGCCGCCGATGATTCCACCATCGAGGTGATCCGGCGGCCTAGGGGTCGCCCACCGGGCTCCAAAAACAAACCGAAACTGCCTCTCGTCATAACCCGGGAACCCGAACCGACTATGCGGCCGTACGTTCTAGAAGTGCCTGGTGGAAACGACGTCGTTGAAGCTATTTTACGATTTTGCCGTCAGAAAAATACGGGCCTTTGTGTTCTGAACGGCTCCGGCACCGTTGCTAATGTCTCTCTCCGCCAACCTTCCGCTACCCCAAGCGCCACCGTCACATTTCACGGCTGTTTTGAGATCCTCTCCATTTCCGCCACCGTGTTTCCTGAAACGATGTCGTTTCCAGTCCCTAACGGTTTCACCATCTCCCTCGCTGGACATCAGGGTCAAATCGTCGGCGGCATGGTTGCCGGCGCCTTAATCTCTGCCGGTACAGTTTTCGTCATCGCCTCGTCGTTCAACAATCCGATGTACCTCCGGCTTCCCGAACTGGATGAGCTCAAGAATTCGGAATCCGGCAGCGGCGAAGTTCACTCCCCACATGTCTCCGTCGCCGGAGATAGTAGCGGGCACAGACCCGGGCAGAGTCGAGGGAGCGGGCAGCTTGTGGAATCCCGCGGAATGGCTTTAATGAGTTGCCACGCGCCGTCCGACGTAGTATGGGCGCCGACGGCGAGGCAACCGCCACCGCCGCCGTACTAATCCATAACTTTCTTCTTTTTCCCATTAATTTCCCATTACTCTTCTGTTAAATTTGTAGTTTGTTGTAGAATTTTTAGAACTGAAAAAGAAATCAACTTCTTCTTATTATTTTTTTTGCATGATTATTTTGTGGTTTATTCATTTAATTGCTTCAAAAATTCAATTTAAATTAATGTTTTTTCAACCCAACATGATATGTATGTTGTCCAAGACATGTTGTCCAACATGACATGATTGGCGAGTATAACAAACTTGCTTGTTTAAGACGTGTTGCTCACGGTCGCATGTATGTTGCATGTCAAACCCCTTGCATTGACTTTTTTTTTTTTTATCGTTTTCATGTTATATAGTTCCTTGTTTGTATTTCCTAAGTGTACGATGTTTCGTCATAATCATGTCTACGCTTGATAAACCTGAAATGTCTCAAAATGTACAATATGAAAATGCGACTAGTCGTCAATTTTTCATACCAGAGTCATATGCTATCTAAAGTTATTGTATTGTCTTCTCGCTCATAGCCTATAACATTGCTTTCAATCTTACTTTCAAACTCTTTTTCGAAAATCTCTTTGCCCTCGTTTTCTAATTTTTTTTTTTTTTTTTTGTTAAATAGGGTTAGAGACTTGAACATATGTCGTCAGGCAGTAGGCAATCCAATTTCGTGTTGGTTGACTCACTCAATGCTGAGAATGAATGTTGTCCAATCGCCAGTAAACATCTAGATTGTTATTTAAAATTTATTTTGCTTCAAATAATAAAAAATTGATAACCAAATATAGGGTTTGTGATGAAATTCATGATTAAAAAGGTAAATTTTGGATGAATAAAGTATTTTGCAATATTAATTAAAGGGATTTTGTGATTATTAAAAAGAGACAAGAATGAGCAAAATTGGGTCACGTGAAAAATAAAACTAATAAATAATGTACCAAATCTAATTCAATAATTATGGAGTAATAACCAAATATTCAATTTTAAAATAATAAATAAGTATTTTTTTCCTACTTAATTGTACTCGAATTTTCACTATTTAATATTTTATTAATAAATATAAGTCCTTTTCACTTTTTTTTTTTCTTGCCATTAATTTTCCCTGTCGACCACTTAGCTTTGTCTTTAATTTGTTTTTGTTTTTATATGTTTTTTATTTTTCTTTTTATAATCCCTTTTTTAGTCTTTTTAAAGTTTTAAAAAATTGATGTGACTTTTTAATCCTTAATTTCTTTAATAGAAGTCTTATAAAGTGATATTTTACTCCAAATTTAGAAACTAAATTAAAATTTATTTTTTAATAAAAATATTATAATTTCTTAAAATTTATACCTTTGTATTTTTTTCACATCTTAATGACACGAAAACAATCACGAATAGTTATGATCAGGGCAGGTATGCATATCTGGAGATAGTCAAGACTGTATCGAGAAGGGAAAAATCTGAATTGTCATTCGAGTTGATGAAGTATGATTTTTCAGAACCGAACGTCGGAGAAATATGAAATAAAAATAATATTTTGAAAAAAAAGATTGAATTTTGGAAATGGGTGAAAGTCAAATATGAAATAAAGTGTAGGGTTTGGTGGGAGATTGGGTGAATTGAATTTGGGGTGAGAAAACAGCACACACTTCAAGTGGTATGATCTTGACATTTAAGCCAATTGGATAATATATTATTATTTTCATTTCTTTTTCTTGAAGCTTCTAAAATAAATAAATAAATAAATAAATAAATAAACAAATAAATAAATAATGGGATTACAAAGTGTTGTCGTTTTGGGACACATATCTTTATCTCCATCCCCATCCTTTCAAGCAACTACTTTTACTTCCGAGTCCTTATCTCCTTTTCTATAGAATAATCTTTGTCCAAAATAGTAAATTACAAAAGTAACCCTACTTGATAATTCCAGAACAATCTAGATGAAGGATCTAAGCTCGGAAGATCGTGTAACTTAGATTAATTATCGAGTATTGATAGTCTTCTCAGGAGGCTTGACGGAAATTATAACCTTGTATTTATAGGTTAATATTAGGATTTATTGTAATCTTCTTAGGATCAATGAGCTGGTTTTTTGTTAGATCCTACATCGATTAGTGAGGGGAACTAAACATTCATTATAAGGGTGTGGAAACTTTTCCTTAGTGGATGTGTTTTAGAATTGTGATAATGATATGTAACGAGCTAAAGCGAACAATATTTGTTAACAGTGATCTTGGGCTGTTATAAATTGTATCAAAGCTAGAAATCGGGCGAGGTGCAAGTTAGGACGTTGGTCCTCCAAGGGGAGTAGATTGTGAAATCTCACATCGGAGGGAGAGGAGAACGAAATGTTTATTATAAGAGTGTGGAAATTTCTCCCTAGTAGACATGTTTTAAGTTCAACTATTTAACGAAATATTCATTATAAGAGAGTGGGCTTGGACTGTTACAGTTTCTGAAACGAGAAATCGAACTATCAATTGGTAATTGATATATGGTCCACCGAATTATTTTCAAATTAATTTAAGAATTTAATTAAAAATTTTATTTAAAAGAGGAAAAAAGAAAATAGGTTAATAATAACTTGTTAAATTAAAACAAGGTAAATGATGAGTGAGTTGGTTGTGGTTGACTTTTGATGAACACTTTGTCGGACAAATTAAACCCTATTCAACTTGGTCGGCACCCCAACTTATAACAATTTGCTTTTTAGTCCTCCAATTTTAATGTCCTTTGCTAAAAAGCCCCCAACTTTTGCTTTCTATTTCCATTTTTGACTTAATTAATAATGTTTCCTTTTAATCCAAGTTTGCATTAATTTTTTCTTTTTTAATCATATCCACAACTTTTTATATTAATTACTTATATAACCACCCTTATTATAATATAATGAATATACCCTCCTTAATTTTATCTTTAATTCTATTTTAGTATTTTATTTTAGTTCTAAATACAGTTTAAAATCTAATATGAATAAGAAATATGTAGGGAGTTGATACAACTCTATAACCCGATCAGCACATACTACTCAAACCAAACTATAAAAGGTTGGGTTGTATTAGATTTTTTCGGTTTAAGATTTGGGTCGGTTCGCGGAGTGACAGTTTTTTGTCCGGTCAAATTAACCAACACAAAAAAAAATCCAATTCTATTCGACTTTTAAGATTATTACGAAAATTAAGAATATTTTACCTTTATGACATAGGTTAATGATGCGTTATGAGTTGTACATGCTTCATATCCGAGTATTATAATATTTTAGTGATTAATGTAACATGTATCGTGGATAGATATGATTTTTTAAAAAACTAAAAAAAAAACTCAACCACCCAATTCAACTTAAATCATAGGTTAAACGAACTCAAAATTTCACGTTGATTCAAAATATTTTCCTAACCTAAACTGTGTATATTTAAATCAATAGGTTAAGTTGTAGGATATATATATTTTAATTATCGAAGAAAATGGTATAAAAACGTAAAGGAATGCAAAGAAAGAGGGGATTTATTGGTAACAATGTGAAAGGAAAAAATTCAAAAATCAAGAACTTTGAGGGAGGCACCTGCGATCCGTCAAAATCTGCAGCGCGGCGGGTGGTGCGGCGGCAGAGGCGGCCTCACCTTTTTTATTTTTAAAATGTGTTTGACGTGGGATTTGTTTGTCGGGCATGGATTAGAAAGCCACCGATTAGATTAGTTAGTGCAAGCGAACCCAACAACATTGGAATCTGAAAAGTGAAATCGAAGCGTTGCTTTGCTCTCTTCTTTTACATAATTATGGCCGGCGGCGGCCATGGACTCAGATCATGCCCTTTGCAATCTTAAGTTACTTATTTACATAATTATGCTCGAGTTGTGTGTATCTTATTTACATAATTATGTTCGAATAACTTTTATATTATTGTCTTTAACGAACTTAAACTAAAGGTTTTTAAATTTCAATCATACAATATAATTCTCCACATTGTTTAAAAAAAACTATATTATTTATCCCTAATGCCGTTCAACTAATGAGAAAAAATGTTTCCATTTCTCCTCGCTCATTCCCTGCTTAAATAAAAAATTCCTTATAGACTCACAAGTTAAATGTATATCTCGAACTCAAACTTTGATATAATTTTTCCTTTCTTAAACCGATCAGATAATATATGTAAGATCGAAAGAGGTGGGCATTTTGGGAAATGGTAAAATACCCTACAAGTCTATGATCCAGAGGAATTTATTCTAAAAGTTGAAGATCTTATTATTAACCGTAATGAATAATAATAATAATAATAATATCAGATGTGAGTAACAAAATATTAACAGCTGACCCTTGCAAAAAGAATCAGCTCTCTAAGCATTCCCTAAGTACTATTTACTCACCTCTGAGCTCAGTATACATTTTCATGATGAAATATTTACCTTTCTCTTCTCCAACTACCATTACTCACTACATTTCTACCTTGTCTGCTACGGTCAGAATGCAACCAAACACCATCTTTACCCTCCATCAAATGCACAGTTTCTTCCCTACAGTTAGATTCTTTCCTACTCAAGAAATTGGGACGAGGTTTCTCCGTTGTTTTAGGACCAACTGGTGAGCATCGGCTTGAATGAGCTGGATGCAAAAGTGGGGAGGACGAAGATGAGGATGGTAACGATGCGTCTATATCAGAAGGATTATGAAAACCGTTCCAACTGCATCCAGAATTGCTGTAAATAAACTCTGGTAAGTCGTCAGTGTTCGTGGAGTCACTGCTGCTGTTAGTACTGCATGAAGTTTCATCAGAGTTACTGAGAAGAGAAGAACTGTCGCTCGATAAGTCCTCGTCCATGAGCTTCTGGAGCTGGTGGAATTTTCGATAAAACGAACTGATATTTGAAGGATCGTTTGATGTATTGATCTTGGTATGAAGGTTCCGGGAATCGGGGTACGTCGAGTTGGGACTTGATTTAGATGAGCTACTCCTCCCATTGATCCAAGATGGGATGCTTCCATCTCTGGAATCAGTCATAATTTTGCTTCTTATTAGCCTTGGGGCCCTAGGTGAGCATCTGCAAGGTTATCTGTCGTCAAATAATGAAGGATTCAAACAATAATTGCCTGAGAACAAATCGTTTTAGCCCCAAAGTGTACCTTGCATAAAAGAGCATGTATGCCCCTCTTGTTAGTACATTTTCAAGATCCATAGCTGTTACCTATCCAACCATAGAAAAACAAAAGTCACGTCTCTGAGAATAGCATCCATCCATGTAAAATGTAATTCGAACACGATAAAACTTCGCCTAAAAGCTGCTAGATGGATCAACTACTAATTACTAAAACAGAGCATTGAACGAACTATGTTCGTCATTGAGAGAGAGACAGCATTTAATGTTCTTACGTTAGGAACAAGCAAAATAGCTCATGATTTTACTTTTGGTTTCATTCAAAAATCCTTACAGTAGTGGAGATCAACTCTTACTTAATACCCATATGATCTTCCCTTATCTTAGCCAAGCCAATATGAGACTCTAGTCCGACCCCAGCAATCTTCTACTCGAACAAAGTACCATTGAATCTCCCCTCGAATAGTCCAGTTACCCATCTTGCTCTTATCTAAACTAACCCTTCTTCTCTTCTTATGAGGCCAGCAACTCTATTTAGCAGCCAAAGATTCTATCTGCACTGCTAAATTCGGGACATGGTTCTTATACCATTTGTTAAGGACAACAACCCTCTACATACCTCTAGAATGTTATGTATTATCCATTTTTGGCATAAACCATCATGGTTTTGCTTTAGGTTTCACCCAAAAGGCTTCATACCAATGAAAATATTGTCTCTCGCCTACGTATTAATGAACTTTATTCGCACTCTCAACCTCTAAGAATGGTTAATGCTTCCATAGTAGCTGTAGTAAAAATAGTGCAGAGCGAAACATTAAAAACGTGTAAATAAAGAAAAAAGTTAAAAGATTGACAAAGAAAACGACCTAGGATAGCCTTCATATTGAACAAAATATAGAATAATATAATTTGATAACATACCGTGCTATCATCAATCTTGAACCACTTGTTTTGATTATTCCTGATATAGCACACGTAGTGACCAGAAAATGCCGCATTCATGACATCCAAATGAACAATCACTCCGTAAAGCCTGTATACAGGTGACTTATCACTTCTGCTACTCATATAGGGTGCTAAATCTAGGATTTCCGAAAAAATAACCGGCTTATTGAGCTTCCCAAATTTGCCTGACTGAATTGGATAAACAAAATAAAGAACTTAGAAAAAGAAACGCTCAGCATTATATCTAAATATGTAAATGATAAACATCAATTAGTTGAAGGGAAACCTGGAATCGTTTTAAGGCTATGGTCAGGATGTTGGGAGCCTCCAATATTGATAGCCTTTTCTTCGCTTTTACGTATGATTTGCATCTGAATGATTTCAGACCACAAATAAATATAATTAGGAAGGAGACAATAGGATGGAGCATATATAAACAGAAAGAATCAATGTATTAACCTGCTACATTGGTATCTATTGTCCCCGTCTAAAACCTCAGGGTTTGTATATTGTTGAAGGGCCTCTTCGATTGTTTCAATATCCCCACTTATCTCAACAGTAAGATCTAAAATCCTTTCGATTCGTTCGGATTTGTTCTCACACCTTGTGCATTTGATCTGCAAGTGAGTATCAAATTGAAGGCAATGGTATGAGCACAACAAGATCAACTTGTAATGGTACTATTAGGGGTATATTAGCAATGGTAGTAAGGATACTAATGGAAAATAGCTAGAGAATCTTTGTTATAAACAGGAAAGGCTATTGATATTATACTTTCTTCATTGATATTGCAATATAGTAATCTTTGGTGTTTTCTTATAATTTCTATAATTGGATACCTAACACAACTCTAAAGATTTATAGCGGTTCGCACAACAATTTCCTTGGGTAACTGATATTCTGAATATCCTTAGCTGATAAGACATCGAACTACCTTTGATAGAAGATAACCTCCAAATGTAAGGTCGATTAGAGTTGTTTCTTCTTCCACGGGGCCTGATCGACCTGCTTGAGCTTCCATAAAGCAAATAGATTGCATTGTGTCAATAGCACACCTGCCAAACTAACTCATTAATCTACTGGAAGAAATAAAGATTGGAAACGAGCAAGATTTTTTTTCAAAATAAGACCTCAAAAACTCGTGCGCATCCTCCTCTTTTCCATTGACGAGTTGACTTCCAATTTTTTTCAGTTGAGAAATTATTCTGAGAGGAGATAGTGGAGATTTGCCTTCTTTTGCCTCAAGTATTAGACTTTCAAACTCACAGGTAAAACACCATCTCTCCTTGGTACCTAATATGCAAAAACAAAAACAAAAACAATACGTTAAGCCATAGAAATTTAAAGCTATTGTTATAAAGTAGAACTTAATCCAAAGAGATAAAATGTAGCATCCTGTATACATGCTTTAGAATGCAGCCCCTGAAGAAAATAGGCTGTCAAAGGAGGAGTGAATGTCAAACACTGGAGTACTACATTTGCATAACAGCTGCATAACGTAAGAATAAGAGTTACTTGTATTAAAAGCATTGAGATAAACTGCACCACTAAAGAATAAAAAAAAAATGTAATGACAAGACTAATTGTTTCATATAAAAAATCTATAAATTTATGTAAAATTGCACATACATTTTGAATATTCAGCTTTAAGCAGCAGGGGCTAAATTAGACCGCTTAAATCTCTGTAATGAACGGAGAAGACGTAGAATACACCTCATACTTGCGACCTTACTATAATACTTTTCGATTTTTTAAAAAACAACATAGTAACTATAACAACCTGTTCCCGCAGTTGACAAGGCCAGATGGTTGGAGCTCCACTTTATTCCAATTATATAGGTTGATAAAAAGCTCATATGGAAAGTCTCCCTGTATAAAGACAAATATTAATCAAATTGCCAACCAAACCAAATTACATTCCGACAAAATAAGCAAGTAAACGACCTTGTTATTGTGTTTTCCAGTATT